ACGGTTATTTGTCACAAACACTGTAATAAACCGATTTCTGATACGGGTATGTTGCATACGTTTATCATAGGGACTAAGATTTTGAGTTTCGAATACAATTTTTAGATGGTGACGTTCCCTTGTCACCATATTATGGTGTTTATATATCTCAACTTGTACGATTCGCTCGTGTATGTAACAGCGTATTAGATTTTAATGAGAGAAATTTATGTATTACTGAAAAATTATTACACCAGTGTTTTCGATATCATAAACTAGTCAAAACATTTACTAAATTTTATCATCGGTATAAGGACATCATTCGTAAACTCAACATGCAGACATCATATACGTTTGGGTATTTCACATCCAATCTTCATTGGTAATATTCTTTACAAAGCACAAAAATGTCAGTATTCACCTCAAAAGCTAACAAAACCGTTAAACAGACTTATTAAGAAGGGATATAGTTACGATACTGTTGTCAGGTCATTAAAGATTGCATATTTTGGCTTTAATATTGATTCACTTATATGGTCTTTGCATCGGAATTAAACATATTTATTCTAAAACCAGTTGTTGGCATGACACGGGTTATGTTCTTCTCATATATTTTATGATGGTATAATACTAAACCCCTAACAGGAGGGATTGTGCCTGATATTCATATGATGAAGACATAATCTTTCAATCAGTTTAATTGAGGTCTGGAGCTGGCATGTCAGTAACTGCTAGTTGTCTGTTGTTATTTATGTATTATTGTCATTTTGTTTATTTTCTTTTGTTTCCTATTCTGACATCGGACTCGGACTTCTCTTAAACAGAGTTTTACTGTGCGTACTGTTGTACGTTTGTTTTTTCTACATTGGCTAGAGGTATAGGGGGAGGGTTGAGATCTCAAAAAACATGTTTAACCCCGCCGCATTTTTGCGCCTGTCCAAGTCAGGAGCCTCTGGCCTTTGTTAGTCTTGTATCATTTTTAATTTTAGTTTCTTGTGTATAATTTGGAGTTTAGTATGACGTCTATTATCACTGAACTAGTATACATATTTGTTTAGGGGCCAGCTGAAGGACGCCTCCAGGTGCGGGAGTTTCTCGCTGCATTAAAGACCCATTGGTGGCCTTCGGCTGTTGTCTGCTCTATGGTCGGGTTGTTGTCTCTTTAACACATTCCCCATTTCCATTCTCAATTTTAAGTATGTTATGGATATTTGTCATAAGGACTCTGTGATGAAATACGGTTATGTTTCAGATATTTTCATGCGGATTGTGTTTTTTCTAATACGGGTATGCTGCAGGTGTTTATCACAGGAACTTTTCCCGGCCTTCTAATACTGGTTGTTTATCTGTGGTAGTAACATGCACTGGGTATTGCAGATATATTGTACGAGTACGTTGCAGATATTTGTCATCGATCGGTACTGTGAAATGATCAAATAAGGGTTAATTTCAGATATTTCTTTATACGAATTGTTCCTGCAGTTTTTAAAAACCGGGTATGTTCTATATTTATAGATCAATGAATGAAAAAGAATTTTTTAGATCATTTTCTGGGTTAATTTTGAATAAAAATAAAACAGAGGGTATATGGATAGGAAAACTAAAAAATAGAAAAGGTAAAGCAGCCGTGATTAATTGGACAAATAAACCAGTTAAAGCATTAGGAATATATTTTGGTCATAACAGAGAGGAATGTGAAAAATTAAACAGGAAGAATAAAACTGAGAAAATGGATAAATTATTTCATTTATGGGGGAAACGTAATTTAACTTTAATCGGGAAAATACCTATTATAAAAACATTAGTTTTACCACTTTTTAGGTTGTAGATGCTTTATCCTCTTTGCATAAAAAATATGTCGTTGTTCCAGCAGATAAAGCCTCCAATAATATTGTCGTCGCATGTAAAAACAATTATTTGCAATGTCTCACAAAAGAGCTTGGAATAAACAGCACAACTGGTAATCCTACATATTCTTTAACATCATTTACAAAGAATGAAATTTTACAAAATCACAAATCTGTCCTTCTTTTATTTGGTTTTAACATCAAAGAAAACGAAGAAACTCTACCGTCATTATACTGGATACCAAAACTTCACAAAACTCCGTATAAAGAACGATACATAGCTGGATCATCAAGATGTTCGACTAAACATCTTTCTAAAGTGATGACTTCTATTCTTTCTACAGTAAAAGATGGCCTTCAAAAATATTGTGATGAGATATATTCAACCAGTGGTGTCAATCAGTTGTGGATTCTCAAAAATTCTAAAGATCTACTTCTAAATCTTAGATCACAATCTCTGCAATTTTGAAGCAACAGTAAAACTTTTGATTTTTCTACGCTTTACACTACTATTCCCCATGCTCAATTGAAAGATCGACATCACCATATCATTAAACAGAGCTTTTTCTATAAAAATGGGAAGCGTAGACATAATTTTCTTGTTTTGGGTCATAATAATTCTTATTTTGTGAAGAACCACACCGATTTGTCAGAAAATACAGTGAAGATATTATCAAAATGCTGGGCTTTTTAATCGACAATATATTTGTTGAGGTTGGAGGATTGATATTTCAACAGACAGTCGGTATTCCAATGTGTACTAATTGTGCACCCCTTCTGACCGACTTGTTTTTGTACTCGTATGAAGCAGAATTCATTCCGAACCTTCTAAAAGACAAAAATAGAAAACACCTTGCAAAATTCTTTAATTTTACTCACATATATATTGATGATGTCCTATCACTGAATAACCCATATTTCAGTCAGTACTTGCATCTCATATAACCCAGTGAACTTGAAATTAAAGGTACTACTGATACAAGGAGGACTGCTTCATACCTTGATCTTTAACTCAATATTGACACAGATGGACGACTTCACACTAAAATCTATGACAAACGGAATGATTTCAACTTCCCAATTATCAATTTCCCATTTCTCAGCAGTAACATACCCTCTGCTCCGTCGTATGGTGTTTACAGATCTCAATTGATACGTTATGCTCGTGCATGTTCATACTATACTGACTTCATATACAGGAGTGCCCTCCTTACGCAGAAACTGCACCAACAGAGTTATGAGAAGGAAAGATTAAAAAATGACACTCCGTAAATTTTATGGACACCATCACGAATTGGTTGATATATACGATGTGTCTGTGTCTAAACTAACTAATGACATTTTTACCACGTCTTAGATTGTGGTTTAACATCTATATCGTCGGTCTGCCAAGTATCGAACATGACCTATTCCCGAATATGACTGTTATACCGAGTGTGAATTTGCATTTCTATACGACGTGTCTCGGTATTTTGTACATCCAACATTCATGTATTTATTTTTAATGTAACAGTTTCTGTTATGGTTTCGGTTGGATAATGTGTTATGTCTTATCGTTTGTAGTCCAAATCATTATAAAATTGCCTTTTAATACCATCATTGTCATGTAAATTGTTTGGACTGGTATTGTGAAAATAATTGTATAAAGTTCGAAATTGCATGTTCGTTACGTAAGTGCGTCACTGTTTGTGATGTCTTGTGGTGTCTGTCGTTGATGGAAGATGTTCGTTGTTGTTCTGCGGTTTGCATGTTGTGTCGACTATGATATTTGTTTGTGCGTTTCACTGTGATGAGTGTTCTAGCGTGTGTTTGTGCTGTATTTCTGTCACGTAGTGTTGTTATTTTAGCGATATTTTTTAACATTGTCATATAAGCGGGAGGTTTGGCTAGCCATAAAACCAGGTTTAATCCATCATTTTTTCTTAAAATGTCCTGTACCAAGTCAGGTATATGGCAGTTGTTATCAAATAGTTCGTTTCTATGTATGTTGGCGTTTGTTTTTGTCGCACTGTAGTGTTCCTGTTGTTCCTTAGTTTTCCTGTTTTAGTTGATGTGTTTCCCTCGGTTTTAGTTTGTAACCCGGACTTTTTTTCTCTCCATCGATTATTGACTTTCGAACACCGGTATACTACTGTTGCCTTAATTTTCATTTTTGGCAAAGGTCTGTACAGTACCAGAGAAATATAAAAAAACTATAGAAAGTAAATGCTATAAATACATCTGGGATGGTAAATCAGATAAGGTTAAAAGAAATACCATGATTAAGTCGTATGAAGAAGGGAGGTTACAAATGATTGATATACAAATTTGTTTTATGTCTCTCAAAGCATCTTCGAAACGTTAAGTCACTAGTAACGGTATTTCAAACTGGAAGTTGATTCCTTTAAAATATCTCAGTGTTGTTGGTATAAATTGGTTGATTTTTAAGATAAATTTTGAAGAGAAGAAAATTCTAGACTATATCAAGCACATCCCTGAATTTTATAGAGAAGTATTTAAATGTTAGGTAATGTCAGGTGGTGGACAGACGAAGAAACATACCAACTTCAAAGATATAAGAAAACAGGTAATTTGGGGGATCAAACTGATTAATTTTGAAGATAAAACCATTATTTTTGCAAATTGGATAAAGAGTAACTTGATATTGGTCAATGATATTATAGATGACACTGGTGATATATCTCAACATTTCATTTTGCAAAAATTAGTCTCTAAGAATAATTAAATAAATTAAATAGTAGAAATACATATTTTGAAAAAAGCCATTACAAAAGACATGCTTCAGATGTTAAAGTCTGAAAGTTCTATTCAGAGTATTGTAAATATTCCTGGACATAAATTGATCTGGAAAGGTAATTACATTAAGGCTTCATCTTCAATTCATAATACCAACAAAACACTTATTATTTAAATGGAAACAGAAGAACGACGGTCTATTTAATGTATGTAACGAAGAAAAAGATTATAACCACTTTTTTTCTTTCTTGTCGATTTTTTGAAAAGTTTTTGAAAAGTATTCATGAGTTAATGAGAAAACAAAATTCAAATTTTAGCGTATCGTTAAAGCAATTAGTCCTTGGATATAAGATTTTTAAAAAAAATTATTTTCTCACAATTTAAGGTTTTTCTATATACAAATCATATTATGTATCTAATCAGAAATTGACAAATGTAAATGTTTATCAAAATTTTGTTCAAGAATACATAAAAAGATATAACGAAAACAGAACAATGAATTAAATTCAGTACTGAAGTCACTAAAAGAAGTACCGGTATACACAATTGAATAGATAAAAACATAATGCATAAAACGTTCGTACAATTGTATTTCAAGAAATGTGTATATTCATATATATCAACAGCTGATTACTAACCTGGGTAATCAGTGGAATATTACAGGATACATCGAAAAGAGCTTGGACTCTTGAAGTAGCAATGTAACAAGCATATTTGGTGAATAAATATAAAGTTATTTGTTTTTATTAAGGATTTTAAAACTATTTACTATTTTGAACATTTTTTCAGTCTATCCCTTTCATCGTATTATTGAAATCACAACCCATTATTGTAATTCCTATCCCTTCTTCATTTTTTCAGTCTATCCCTTTCATCGTATCATTGAAATCTCAACCCATTATTGTAATTCCTATCCCTTCTTCTTTTAATATATTATTTACCTTTTTGAAAAATATGTTTCTATTATTTTTACAATTAGGTGCATATATACACATTAGTGTAAAAACGCTTTCATCAATTTCCACATTAAGTAGAACTAATCGTCCTTCTACATCGTCATATTTATTTATCAGCTTAGAATTCAGTGACTTTTTAATGAGAATAGCCACGCCCCTACTAGAAGTTGTTCCGTGACTGCAAAAATATCAAATTCTGAATTATTTCGTTTTTCTGTTTCTATGTTTTCATCAAAATGAGTTTCGTGTAAATAAAAAACAGAACCGTTTTGAGATTTAATCCATTCAATTACAGGGTCTCTTTTAGCTTTATTTTTAGTACCATTTACATTTCAACTATTTAAATTTATCAAAAATTTAGATGCCATTTCAAAGTATAATTTCATATTTTTGTAATAGTTGCTAACATACTGGTACATGTCTACAGACAGTACAGTTAAAAAATATTTTTATAACAATCATACAGAAATCGACAATCCCTCTATTTCTACAAACATAAAAAGTACAATTCATCATATTACATATAATTATGGGTAACCAATAAAACACGCTATCTGTGAATACGGCATTTAATTTACTGACCTTATTTGACCTTGTTATGTCTAAATCGATAAACAATAAAATTGACACTAAAATATTCAACAACTACCACGTGTTGTTTGATTCTGTCTTACATTGTGGATTCGGGTGGATATATTTTTCTGATATGCGTGTCTTATTCAAATTATTTGTGCATATAATCTTATCTAAATAAGTGAAATGCAGAATGTAAACATATTTAAGAAAATAATGTATGTGAAGTAAAGTGTTTGGAAGAAATAAATATCTTGGATATCTGTAATCTGAAGTGTAAAGGAATATCCCAAAAAAACATATGCTTGTTGGCCCAATATTGGCTTTTTGTTGGCATCTTTGTTGGCCCAATGATGGCAGCCATTGTTGGGCCAACAACTTGTTGCTCATCGGGCTAACGTCTCTGCAAACAGTTGGCTACATGTTGGCCCAGCAACTTTTCCCCAACATATAACACGTACTGCCAACCATGTGCCAACCATATTGTCATGGATACCATGTTGGGCTAACATTGGTCCAACATGTTGGGTATCAAATGAACCAACATTGTATAGTGCAATCTTAATTCTGTTTTTCTACCCAGGAAATTTTATTTGTTTATTTCTATCCTAAAGACTTGAATCTGGACCTCACTTTAATTAGATATTTCCGATTAACTCAAAAGGATTTTACAAATAAAATCCCTACATGTTTACATATGTTTTTTTAATATTCATACAAGAATCACTGAAACAGTAAACCATATTGAATTTTTATTTTGGATATATTTCATTGAAAAAGAAAGATAACAGTTTATATCGCATATCAATATATATGCCTGATTGTATTTTATGTCCAAGTGACTATGTCTCCCTATTGCCCCTCTGTTGCTCTTGCATCTTATGCACCATTTTTCTTTTACTCCATTTCTTGTCTTCGATTGTATATTCTTTACATGTCTAAGTGGTTCTCTATGTACGACACAGGTGTATTTGTTACTAGTTGTATCAGTTAACATATTTTTCTTGCATCTACAATAAAATGTAAATGAAATACATTTTTCAATTTCACAATTTTTACAAACGTAATGATTTGAGTCGTTAGCCCTTACTCACTGAAATGAGGTCTTTACCGTAACTTAATCCTTATGATTCAAAATAAAATCTGAACGATTTTATGTTAAAATGTTGTTAATTAGAAATATAAGCTTCAATAAACAGATCCTAATTTGTCTAAACTTTAAACAATGTTTGAAACATTATTATTCTATTTCATTGTTTTTACAATGGAATAAATGAATACGTACGATTCTAAACAGACTTACTTCTGATCGTTTTCTAATCCGCTTTTCATTTATCCTCTTCTACAGTTTATTGGTCAGAAAGTATCTCATACTGCTTTAATTCAGATAAATCCTTAAATTAGGAATCTATAAAAGAAATTATAACCTCTGAGTGCTATGAATTTTCTAACAGTCATTGTCATTTGAAAATGAATTTTAATATCTATTTAAATATCTAAATAATAATACCAGTATTCATGTCTCAATTTATATACACACAGTATGTGTACAAAAACATAACTCAAGACCAGCAACTGCATGTTTTCGCATATATATGTCGCTCTTAAGCACAAGGATCATGATTGTCACCATTCGCGGGAAACCTGAATATGTGTCTCGTGTCTCAAACACAAGGATCTATGAATACCAGAATCTATTCATGTATGCCACCCATCTCGAGTTCCAGGATCTATGTATGTATGAACACCAGGATCTATACATAAATGCCACCCATTTTGAGCGACAGGATCTATACATAATTGCCACCAATATTGAGTACCAGGATCTATACTTGCATGCATTGCATTAAAATTGGAACACTTGGTTTTTGAATAAGTAATCTACTTCATGTACCCAAATCATCATTTGTCACCGCTATGGGGTGCATTCTTCTTAACTCTAATACAAACACGCTATCATGATATACTTTATTATAGCTAATTATATACATATTGAAGACCGTACTGTGACCTATAATGGTTTACTTTTATAAATGTTGACTTGGATGGAGAGTTGTCTCATTGGCACTCATACAACATCTTCTTATATCTATAAACAAGATTTAAAAAAAAATTAATGTAGATTTTATTTACTGTCTAATTATCTATTATCTATCTATGTTAGTTGAGTAAACACATGGAAACGAGCCACTAGGATCATGCAAAAACGTAATTTAAAGCCTAGATACTATATCTTAACACATGGTATCTATCTTTTGAGAGATCTCCCAACAAGTAGTAAGGTCAAAGGTCAATGTCAACCTACAAAAGCATTAAAACACACATAGAACTCTTTAAATAGTGCCAAAAACACATAATTTGCCTCTTTGTCCATGACCTTGGTCAAGGTCATTGGTCGACAATGTCATTGCAAAAGACCCTATAGGTCTAGGACCTTTTGTTTAAGAGTTTTGCCTAATAATGTCTTTTGATAAACCATAAATGGGGGTTACGTCCCTTACACAATATTAAAACCAATACAGTCATAATGTAACAAAGTTGCCCCTTGAAGTACCAAACATTTTTCACTATTTAAATTTTCTGTATCTAAAACCAGTCGAGAATTATAGGGAAATCAAAGACATATAAAAATCTAAAATATGACCTTGACCTTGGACTAAGGACCTCAAGTCAAAAGACCCTAGGCCTCTATCACTTATGGTTTTCCAATTACAAATACATTTCACATATATCAAATACAAAAGGGGAAATAACTCTCATATGGAGTCTTCGTAAAGCTTCGGTCAAAATAAAACCTAACATTCTGAGGATATAACGAGCAATTTGGAAAAATAAATTTGTCGCTTTCTCTTACGGTTGCGGAGGAGATCTCATAACAAGAAAAACAGTGTTTGGGGAGATAATTCTTACAAAGAAAAGTGTTCGGTTAAACAGGGTCAGTTTCAAAACCGTATAGACTGTATTATATCATATACAAAAAAACTAAGCGACATCTTTTGAAACAAAAATACAGTGCAAGAAAAAAATTAGGCGGAAAAAAAAAAAAATAATCAGAAGAAAATCAATAGGTCTTTCCACGGAAAGGTGGAAAACCCTAATAAACAATGTGTATAGACATTACATAGCATTACATGTACTTCAAGATAATCATAGAACATATTATAATTGTACAAAAGTCATAAGACACTAAAACCACACGTGCACTCATAAACATTTTTCTCATTCCGGAGGATTACATGCTGACTCTCAAATCAACATTCAGAATTAAACATTTGAAAAAACGATAGTTTCATATAATACTGTCATTCATACCTCACTGACCAGATTACATAGTATTGCTCTCTCTAATTGTACCTAAAGCGCATGAAAAATGTAGTCACCTGAATTGAAATATAATTCATTCAAATGGTTCAATGAATCTTTTTTATATTTTCCTAGAACTTTTTTACTAGACAAAGTAATAGTTTAAAGACAGTGGCCATTTTGCCTGTACCACGCCAAAATTGAAAATATGCTATTTTACCAACTCTAGGTAAGCGTTTCAATACTGACTACAATTCAAAACTGCCTATTATTTCAAAACCAAATCTAATTTAAATATTTTTTATTTTGTTGCTATGTGATTGATTTTTTTAGACTGTATAACGTTTTTATCAAATCTATATGTAGTGAGATTTTTATCTTGCATTTTTTTTACGGCATAGTTTAAAAATCCGAGATTTTCTTCTTATGCATACATATAGCATTAGACTGATTTATGAAGTCATTTCAACTACATGCTTGATATGATTTCATTGCTACAAATGGATGTTGAATAGTTTTTATTTTTATTCCTTTTTACAAATTTTTATTTTCAATTGGACTCATAATTGTTTTTAAATGATTATATGTATCTCAAATATTGTGACACACACTTATCTTATTCAACTATATGTCGAATAATGATTTGATTCTGTTATGTTTACAATGGACATTTTCGTAGTATTTTTCAAAAGTAAATATAAAAATTCACCCTTTACCGGCGCCGGCAACATGGCCATTGCTATCGAAATATATTATTTTGCTTGTTTTGATTAAGATGTTTTAATCAAAGACGACAAAAGAGCATATTTTCTATTTTGCCGACAAAATAGCCACTACCTAGTTTAAAAAAAAACTAAAAAATTTGACAGAATACTCTTTCTCAGTTGTCCATTGTGGACGATTTCTTTTAGTGAGTAAGCTTTATTCAATTAAATCTATCCGACTTTTGAATGTTTCTATCAATAACGTTTTAAAAGAACAATTTCTTTTATTATTAATATGTTTTAAGTCGAATATGAGAAATTGAGTCAAATCGGTGAACATGAATTTTACAAGTAATGCCCCTTTAAGTTTTGAACTGAAATTCTTTTTAAGGCTTTCACAAATGTCAATTTATTGTTTATTAGTTTTTATCTTGTAATCTTAACTAGTCTTGCACGTGGTTAAAGTGTTCCGGTAGTCCACATACAACTATCATTCTTAATTTGAAAACAAGTTCGAGTGTACTTTGTTATTATTTTTCTTATCATCTCGTCAAATTAAACAGATTCATGCCTCAATCCGTATAAAAAAAGAAGATGTGATATAATTTCAAAGAAGACAACTTTCAACCAGTTGCCGAATGACGTGCATGGATTCATTTGCAAACTAATAGAAATCTATGAATATCAGTTTTTTTTAATTGGCGTTGAATGTAATGATATAAGTGTATGTACAGATGTAATATGCGTTTATTCAAGTAATGTATTATCTATAATTATAATTAATATACAAGATCAATTATTTTGTCTATATGTTTGTTTTCTTTAAAGTGAACTATTTCTCATGGCTATGTTATATAAACCTGTAAAATTTTTTTAAGATTTTTAAAAAAGTTTGCCTAGTCGCAAAAAAGTACGATATAAACAAATAAGTTTCAAAAAGATGAGCAAGATGAATACTGAGATAAACGTCAATGTGACAGTAACCTAACAGTATTAAAATTAATATTCTATTCTTCACCTACATTCTGCTCACTGTCACTTTCGTCTGTGGCATGTGAGATGAATGCTGCATCTACAAGAGAAGCTCCTCAATTCTGGACTCCGTGTGTGATGTCCAAATTATGTCTCGAATACCGTAGCTACCAGGGTATAGAGGCAATGTGCGCAAATTAAGATGTTCTCGTCCGGAATATGCACCCAACTTGCCGCTGGACGTTAAACAGTCATCCATCATCATAAGACAAACAACTCATGGAGTAAAATAGTGTGTTTCTTTGATATTCAATGTTCTTTTCTTTTTCTTTTTTCCCCAAAGTGAAATTATAAACGCGTAAATATCTGCTCAAAAGATTTTAAAATCTTTTATAATTTATTGAATTATATTGAAAGTTATTATTGGCATATCAGGATTTGTTCTCATAATGTTAATAGGATTGAAAGTAAATACGATGAAATCAAACAAACACTTATGTTTTCAAATAACCCACCTGATGTTGTGGGAATGTGTGAAACATTTTTAACTAAAAACACTACTGATAATGAATAACAGATACATGGTTATTTATCAGAAAGAAAAGACAGAACTTCCCATGGTGGGGGTGGTTTGATTGTTTAATTTTCTGAAAAAAGAAACATTTTTCAAGACAAAACAACATTGAAATAGGAGGTCATGAAACAATGTGGTTTGAAGTAAAACCAGATTATAAAAAAACATTTTTACTATGTTTTGTGTACAGACCCCCAAAGTCAACAATAGACTGGATTGATGATTTTGAAAAAGAACTAGGAATGGCAGTAATCATTAATTCAGATATAATATTATTGGGTGATTTTAATATGAATTTTAAAGCACCAAACAAACCTCCTAAAATGGCTGAGTGTTTTAGAATCATTTAATCTTCAACAATTGATTGTAGATGCTACAATGGTCACAAAGGATTCTAGTACATTGATTGATCATATCTATGTCAGTAATCCAGATAAGGTACATGAATCACATATCTGTTAATATGCAATTAGTGACCATTATCCTATTTGTTTAACAAGGAAAGAAGGTAATAAAGACAAAAAGAATACACACAGTACAATCACATACAGAAATTAAAAAAAATTTGACCAAAATGAATTTCTATTAGACCTACAAAGTACAACTTTTTATATAATTGAATTTGAAGACAATCCTTCTGTCTGTCTCCAATTATTTTATGATATGTTGAACAAAGTTTTAAATAAACATGCTCCTGATGTTGAAAAGAGAGTTAAAAAGGATAGGCAACCTGATTGGTATAATAATGAAATTATGTATGCTAGGAACATGAGGGATAATTATAATGCACTTTGATTGTGGAGTGAATATAGATTTTGGAGAAATAAAACTAAACAAATAATAGAAAACTCAAAAAAGAATTATTATA